CGGGTACCCGCGGATACCCGACCCGATGCAGGACTCTGGCTCCAGCCCCCACCCTCCCTGTGAGCACAGTGTGCTCTGATTGGTCGGGACGTTGTGAATCGCGCTGAGCTCCGTGGAGGTGTGGTTTCCTTGTTTAGCGATACACAGCGAAACACAGCCAATCTCACCCTGAGCACACACAAAGTCACAGCCGAAGTAAAAACAATAAGTGTGGCTTGATATTGAGTAAGAAAAAGGTTGATAAACGCTGTGAGAATGGATCTGCAGAGAGAATTTCGCCGCGATCCCAACTGTCTGTTATCAGCCTGCAGCCAGGGGGGAGAGATCAGCAGAGCTGCATGCACTGAGTGTGTGTGTGAGGAAGTCCGTGGATTGGTCAATTTGGACCAATCAGCGGGGGCTTAACGTAACGGCTCCGCGGACGTAACGTAACGGCTCCACGGATTGGTCCATTTGGTTCCGGGAAACGCATGACATCATGAGTTACCCGGAAGAATCAATGGACAGTGACGTATCTCCAACGAGGCGTTTTCGGGAGGTATTTTCTGTGTTAGAGTTTTACTCGCTACAGGGTGTACTTTAAGGATTTTGACTCTGCAGACCGTTTACATGCAGAAAAGCCTTCATAACACACAAGGGGACGGGTAATAACCGGAAAAGCATGACATGGGAGCTTTAAGAAAGAAGAGTTAACTGTTACAAGAGATGTTAAAATAGTCTCTTTATGCAAAACAGGAATCAATTGGAATGTCAAATGCATGTTATTTTGTGTATAATAGAACCAAGGCACAAATAATGGAGAAATTACAGACAGTTAAGGTTTTTAACACTAAAATAAATGTCCCTCATTTGGATTTAAATTCAGTTCCAGATTTTCTCATACATTATATATAATTTTTTCCAGGCATATTCAGGACAAACATATTCTATAACGTTTTTGAAAATAATCTACATTGTGTCTTTTTCTTTCCATCCATAATTTTTTACACACTTGTACTTTGAATATTGAGTCTAATGTGACAAAATAGTTTTATCAAGTGATCTGAATTATTCATAAACCTGTTTTCCTGGTTATTATTAGATATAACTGTTATTGTTTCCATGTTCTTTTTCTTTAGTTAGAGTCTCCCTTCTGTAGTCAAACTTAAAGCTGACATGCAGTTAGAAATAGTTCTGAGCGGTTGAAACTCCCTTTTTTCTGACATGTGACAGTAAACCTCTGGCAAGTGAACTTCAAAAACGTTCACAAGAGTTCATAAAGATCGGGGCGTTTGCTGACTATTTGTCTAACAAACTCAGCTTTAGAAATGTAGCGGTAGTCTGGGGACAAGATTCCAATTGTGATGGTTCGTGAAGGAATAAATTACTTGCAAATTTAATCTGAGCCCCACATACACAATTTCGACGCCACATGGGAAAAGCGAAGACGGACAAAATCTCCTGCAGCATCACGGCAATTTAAATGGTGGGAATCCAAGATTAAAAGTAAATAATGAGGTTTCTTCTGCCTTGTTCGGATTTATCTCACTGTTGGGAGGCTTTTGTTGGTATTCTCACAAACATATTATCGGCGTCATGCAGGGGAAGTCCCTCCTCCAAAACGCAATGACTGGAACAGAGAGTTTTTTGTGTTTTGTGGCTAAAATGGAAGTCATAGTTATCTAAACCTTCATATAGTAATAACCCTTGTAGTTACTTATTTGATTGTCAATAATTCATTCATTTATGTCTTTCATAAGCACTTTGGTATCATTTTTGTTGTATTTTATTTTTTGTTGAAAGATACAATTCAAACAAATAATTTACCCTTAAAAACTGCATGTATTATGTAGACACTGCGTGACTCTGTTAAATTGGGGAAAGCTAAAAGTGACAGAACGGTAAACATCTCTAATGAAAAACTAATACAAAGGTTGAAGAGTGTGAGAAAGTTTGACAAATGAAATAAAAAAGACACCTTCTGCTCTGCTTGCTGCTAAGAGCTGTTGGTTAAGTTGTATTTTACCAAAAATAAATAACCGTAACGATCGTTTTTGACATATTCGGCATATAACAGAGAAATAACTGACACAGAGTTGACAGGTTCTTTTAAACCCTGAATAGAGTAGAGCTGAATGGATATGTCTGTAAAACTGAACACCTGCAGTCAGTAATTGGCTTTTCCTTTGGACAACGTGCATGAAAAGAGGAGATGTTTCGACAGGTGTTTGTGGATCTTTACATTTACTCTGTTCTCACTTTTAGGGGAAAAACAGCCATTGGGGATGTTTTGACTGGAAATATGTGAATTGCTCAAGAATTTTCCAAAAAACAAGACATAGTTTGTGCTTCCTGACAGAAAAAAAAAGATTACATTACTAGCATGTTGGAATACAAAGAAACACTCCAAGCCACCAAAACTCTTCTTTTCTTCTGAGGAGTTCAATTTGGTTTTTTCAAATAAAAGAAAGCGTCACCAGGTTTAATTTATTTGTCTCTTGGTACTTCTAGACAGAAACAGTTCTCCCAGAAAGAAAAGTGTCTTCATGTTTGAAAATGAATTATTTGCTTCAAAATGTCAACATTTTTTTTCATATGTTTTTCAAGAGAAAAAGATGGCACAAAACCAGCAAAACTGTGAATGACTACAGATTGAAAAAGAGTGTGAGGAAGAGATGTGGCAAAATCTGTCACCAAGGCAACTATGCTGTTGTATGTGTCTACGTGTGTGTGTAGTGTACACAGGTGTTACAGTAATGTAAAGTTTGAAAGCATGGCAGCTGCATGAATGTGCTTTGTCAAATGAACCTCTGTTTGTTATGTCTTTACACTGGATTTTGTTATGTGCTTTTTCTTTTTCATCTCTATGCTTTTGAAAGCGTGTTTCTTTTCCTGTGTGCTTGTATTCTGAAGGTGCCTTCCTGTCAGCGCAAGCCTCAAAATAGTGCGTTGCACATTGGGCCCTTATCGGCCTGTCAGTGAAAGAGCAAATTACAGTCATTATCAGTCAAGCTCCAGCTGCTGCTCCCAATCCAAATACCCCTTCAGAAATAAAATAAATAAAAATTAGATGCACATTCTCCGTAACGATTCCTGTAGTTCCCGGGGGCTTCAACACCTGGTTACAACCATGTGTGTGTGCAAAATAACAGGAGATGTGTGTGTGTGTTTGCATCCTATTTTCTGCTTCAAAATAGATTCCTTATCAAATTTCATGATGTGTATATTTACATTTGTAATTCATGGATTATTAAATGAATGAAAATGTGATTTGTATAACTCAATTGCTTGTCTGTAAAGAGTCATACCCTCTACTGTAACATCTTCAATCAAAACTCCAGTCCTTTTGTTTTGATTCAAGTTTCTTCAGACAGGTCCAACCCATGGCAAATACTGGACACAGCTTAAAGAGTAGTCATTGTATGCTCAAGTGTCTGTAGGTTCATGGACCCACCAAGATCTTTTCTGGACTGGTATAAATAAAAATAAATAGAGAAAGATTTTTTAGAGTACACATTCATTCAATCATTCATAATTGTGACTTGTGTTGACATAAACATGTAAAAGATTAGCTCTCTTGTTGTGTTCTTTTTAACCAAATATCTCTCAGAGGGGCGTGGGGGGTGTCTCCTTATTTTCATCTAAAGTAACAGACAGAGAATCAGCACTTTTGAAACAGGGCTGAAACAGAGGGGATTATGGGAATTTGGTATTTCGAGCCAAACACTTCAGTATATATTTGTATATATGTGAGACCTATAATATATTGATGAAAAACAGGATAATAGGGGACCTTTAAACAGTTAAATGTGTAAATATGTATATCTTTTTGGACAGTTTGAAATAGTGACAAAGTGGAACCCATCATATGCTTGTTTTGTACTTTTAGTAGAAGAAAAAAGAGGGGTGAATTTGCAGTTTCCCAACAAAATGGTGGAGATGATTTGCCACAGGGGAAATATAACAGAGAGAAGCTTCCTTACTTTACAATGACTGTGCTCAGTGGAGGGTGTTTAACATATTCTGCTGATGGATAAGTCCCTGCTGGCTGAAGCCCTGAAGCAAACTCTTGGAACAGACATAGAAGCCAGCATTTAAAACAGAAACACAACAAAAAACATAAACCCTACGATGTATCCAGTCATGCAGGCAGCCGCACAAACCCACATACCGTCCTGAATAAAATACAGAAACTCTTTGACGAACAAGGTCATAACACGCACTCAGAACCTCTGTCTGATATCATTTGGTTTGAAGCCATGAAACCAATTTTCATATTCATAATGTCTCTTTTCATTAGGAAGCAGACGACGATATCTGGAAGCAACGCCAAGGCCAGTTTAATGAAAAGCATTTTGTAGTCCAGGAGCAAAGTAATCAGATGATAGAAGCAGTGCAGTGAGGTGGAGAGTTGGAGGGAGGATTGATGTTTAAAGGAGGGGGAAATATAAGCAGCATGAGATGTTTAGTTCAAACCCTTCATTAAACTAGACAACAATGTGAAAAGCCTTCATGCTAGAATAAACATATATTAGAAGATGAATAACAACACTGAATGGGTGAGACAAAAAGTATCCTATTGTCAAATCAAATCGTTTTTAGTTTTACCACATTTTCTGTTACACTGTCTTTTTTACTTCAACAAACTTGTTATATTAAAACAAACTAAAGAAAAAAAAATCCAGTCTCTCCCATACAGATGAAATAAAAACAGATATGCAATCAAACCTACAAAAATAAATAAAACTCCCTCCAGAAAAACGCGAACTAAAACCGTTGATTATGCGATTAAACATGCGGGGTTTTTATGTGATTTTATGCGGTGAAATTGCGAAATATGCGGAAAGTTGCGAAATATGCTAAATATGCTGGAAAAAAGAATAACACATTTTTTAAATATTGGGCTGTCTTATTTATTCTCTCACACACAACCTGCCACTAACGTTAAACCCCTTTACTATTCAATTAAACACATTCAATGTTTATTTATTATAAAAGCAATTGGGCTATTTTAATCGCACACACACACACACACACACACACACACACACACACACACACACACACACTTCTCCGCCTCATTCTGTTTTCATTTACTCGTTCGTTATCTGACCAGCTTCAATCTGGTAGGTGTTAGCAGATTTAGACTTAAACCTTTTGTCTCCTGCAGCAGAAAGGTGAATAATCTCAGTCGTTCAAGTTTAGCCATTCATCACGGCGTTATTTATTTTAGGCACACATCTCAAGAGGCTTGAGGACAGACAGAGAAGGGGCGTGACTGCCAACGGTCTTATACCCTAGGTAGCGACATCATCAATCATGTGGTACAGCAGCTAACCAATGAACACAGTTAGTAGTCGCAGCTACTTACATAGACAATGTGGTGCACAGTAATAATATAAGTCATATACAATATACATATATCTATGTCATATTCTAACATATATAACACCAAAATAAGTACAGCTAGACCTGACTCCATATTGAACAGTTTTGAAAACAGTTTTGAAAACAGTTTGAAAATATTTTGCCTAGTGTCAGAAATTATTACCGGCACTTGTGACTGCAGCTGGTTGCTAGGNTTAGGCCTCAAATCATCTGAGGCCTGGCGCCCCCCCCAGGTTGGGAACCACTGCCCTAGAGGATGTGAGGTCCACCCCCAAATAAAGCAGGTTAAAATAATTAGATTGCATACATTTTCTTTAGTAAACACTGAAAACGGGTCCCACAGACCCAAACAGCGCACGAAGGTTAAAGCTAAGCATATAGTGTTAAAATCTGCTAAATATATACACTGCAAAAAACAAAACAAAGAGGAGTAAAAGTAGCCCCCGACTTGTTTTTTGAAGTAGCTCTCATCGTAAAAAAGGTTGGAGACCCCTGGATTATTGTAATTCCCTCCTTGAACAGGACTCATATCAAACAGTGTCCTTCTATATGATACTTGACTAAGGACAAAACTGATGCTTCATACGTTCTGAAAGTCCATCTCAATGCTAACACTTCCCCTGAGCTAGCTTAATGAACCATAATAAGGGTTTTAAAAATGGATCATCCTATTATCACAGCTACCCTTTAGTCCCCTTTGATAATTGAATATGATAGAAGTTGTGTGATGTCTTTATAAAAAGCAAAGCACTCATTCACTATTTTTAAACGTATGCTATTGGCGGAGGACGCAGTGGGAATGACTATTTAGAGCTTTGATAGCATTTGCAAGCTCAGTAAACTTATCCAGCTACTGAATTTAAACATCCATTATGTTTATGTTCATCCAAGGATGTTTCATTCTTGGATGAACATTTAACAAAACAAATGTTCTTCCAGATGTTTAGGGTTCATTTTTAAATCATGTGAGCTCCCAGGTCAACATATTCTACCTTTTTTTAATATGTGTTTGTTTTCTCCCAGTCACCCCCGCTCCAGCTGCAGGCTCCAGTCCAACACATGGCTCCAGTCTGCAGAACGGTCCCTCATCGTCAACGTCTGATCCTCAACACTCACACACCCGCTACAGCAGTGACAATGATGATGACTCTGAGAAAGAGGATGAAGCTCTGCTCAAAGAAATAAGCCGTCTCAGAGAAAAGTATGTCACATGTACACAATGATACTTCAAACTACCTTTATTTCCTCTTACACACTTATTGCAGAAGTCTGTCTGTATTTGAGTTTTTCACAGGTCAATACAAATATTTGAACATGACTATGTCTTCTTTGGCTCACAGACACATGACGGAGATCCAGATATTGCAGAGTCGTCAGAAAGAGGAGGTGGAAGCCCTGTACACAAAGATGGGGAAACCTGCTCCTTCTTCAGTCTTCTCCCCTGCTGTGGCCATGGCTGGAGGTCGACGGCGGCTCAAGAGCAGAAGCCACAAATCGTCTCGCGGTAGTGGACAGCCCAGCCCCGTGCACTCAGGTCAGGACAGTGAACTGTGATACTCACTTTGATGTTTGTCCAGCAATCAGTCACTGAAGCTGTTAAACTGCTCTGTTCCTGGGTAAATGTTGACATGCCTCTGTGGATCATATGTTCACAGCCTCCGCTCCGAGTCATCACAGTTCAGGGTCCCCTCCGAAGCAAAGTTCAGCCTCGGCAACAGAGGCCTCGGAGACGGTAGCAGAGGCCTCTCAAGCAGCTAACGCGGTGGCGTCCATAAAGCAGCTCAGAACCTCTCCATCCATGCCCAGCCTCAGCAGTTGCTCCACAGGTAAGTGAAAGCACTTAGTTTGTTCACAGAGAGCTACTTGAATTGATTTTCTAGATGAATTCTCACCTCTCTTCTTGTTTACCAGGATCAAGTGGGAGCGGCTCAACAAATGGTTCAGGCCCCTGCCAAAACCACTCTGCTTCTCTGACCCAGACGGTTGGATCCTCTTCCTCTCAAACTCAGAAGGGCAAGGGCACCTTCACGGATGACCTGCACCAGCTGGTGGATAACTGGGCGAGGGACGCCATCAGCCTGTCTCAGTGCAAGAGAGGTCCTAAAGCTGGAGCAGCGGCACCTCTGGGACACGATGTAGGCATTCACTACATCATTGGAGCTCTTATAAGATATGATGTCATGGTTCATATGGGTCTTTGGGTCTTCACATAAAGGACATTGGTCATCGAAAGAAAAGCAGAAAAATGTTAGAAAACAAAAAGTTATTTATATATATTTTTTACTTAAAGTAAGTTAGGAAATAGTCTACTTTACGATATGTGTATCCTGTAGATGTGTTTCACTCGTGACCGGCTTCTAGAGTGCTATGGTCACATGCTGGTAGTCATCATAAAAAGCCTCAGTGTTGTCAAAGTAATTAAGCCTAAATTGGGTTCTCACACTGCAGTGTTTGGCCTGGAAAGTCCTTGAATGTGATACTTTAGAAGATGTTGGACACATGTTATGTTGTTGCTGAGATAAAATAGGTAACACAGACTTTTTTTCACTATTACAGATCGTCCCTCCGGTCAACCAGGGCCGTAAATTCTCCGCTCCAGGCTACCTGTGCCCAACGCTTCCAACACCTTCTACCACCACGTCCACCGCGTCCACTCACCTCCCCAACCCAGCCGTTCCCTCTGTCCCCATGGCCCCTCGGAAAGGCTCTCTGGGCCCCAGCCCGCAGGGCTTTGGATACACCTCGGCCCAGTACAGTGCCACTCAGTGGGCAGGACCCACAGGCACGTCCCAGGTCAGCAAGCTTAACCCCGCACAGCCACTCACGCAGTACCAGCCGCCCACCACAGCCTCGGTGTCCCTGCACCCAGGATACCACATTGGAACGACAGCAGCCCCCCAGAACCCAGTGGGCCCCGGAGGGTCCAACCTGAGGCCCACGTAGCCCAGTGGAAGCCCCCCACAGGGCAGACAGTCGTGAACGAGAACCACTAGCTCTTTGTGCAGTAGGCTGGTTGGTCGGCTGGATATTGTTCTTTTTATTTTTATTTCAACTTTTATTATGTGTTTTTTTTTTTCTGTAATAGAGTGGACCTGTGTGGTTCATGTCCTCTCAGGCAGAGCGAAGTCTGTCTTTAGATTCAGAGGAAGAGTGCAATACACAGCAGTCTCACACCTAGCCTGCCATCAGCTGTGGAACTGAGCTGTGACGAGCCGTTGGTTTGTGTCTGGTGATGAAACCAACTGCAGCCAAAGATGTCTTTTGAGAGCAGACGTTGCAATGTTTTCATTCCTGTGAAGAGGAGGAGGAGGAGGAGGAGGAGGAGGAAGAGGAGGAGGAAGAGGAGGAAGAAGGAGGGATTGTGGGTCACGTCCTACTGGTCCTGACTTAAAGCCGCACTGGGGCTGAAGACAGTAAAACAACACTTAGACACACGTACAGACACACACCGGACTAAATATGAACCCTGGTTGACAGACTTGTGATAACATGTTAAGTTGTTTCAGAGAGCTATAGGGGGGAGTGTACAGAAAGTGGGAGATAACAGTGGGATAGTTTGTTCCAGATGGATTGGCAAAGTGTGACTGGTTGAGTTGGGAGGAGAAAGTTCTGGAAAGTGAGGCAGGAGTGTAAAGGATAGGGTTGCAGTTTGAATACATCCCTATGAACTATTAAGTAAAATGCAATAATGGCAAAGAGTAGATGAACTGTCCCTTGTAACTGTGGCCTTAATCCCCAACACATTTAGACATTGACTTTGTACATAGATATTTCTTCACTGGGTTATGATTCCACATTTAGCATATTTATGTTCCTGTGAGTCTGGTGACATTGTGATATGAGTTGTCACCCATTCAGATTTATTATACCAGTTTATTCTTCACGTCTGACATATAAACAGTGGATCGTCCACTACTAAAGTCATTGTCCTGGTGTTGACCACCATTCGCAGTGTGAAGCTTGAGAGGTGATGCTGCTGAAAATCACAATCGGGTTGAGGTAGTTTGCAGGGTGTGTTTTTTGTCTTGTTTTACACAAGAAGGAATTTAGAATCCAAGATGACACATTAAACAGCATTAGTTTGGCAGATATGAGCAGTTCATTATCTGCTTATCATATATATTGTAGAAAAAAAATAATTTTGGTTGATTTCAAAAGTATTTGTGGAAGCTTTTAGTCTCTCCCAGTTGTTTACACAGATGGTGCACAGCGCATCGATGAAGTCATGCTGCATTAAATATGTCTGCTCATAACATTTAGCCGTCACGTCTCAAATCACAATTGTCTGGGGTTCTCTCTTTCTGTGGTCTGTTTTTGTATGCGTATATTTAATAAAAACAAATGTTCTTTATGGACCTGTATTCAGCCATCAGATTTTGATGTTGTTTCACTGTAATTATTATTATTAAAGGTTGTTAAACAACATGTAGTTAAAGGAATATAAAAAGTGCAATTGCAGGGTTGTTGTCATTGGTATCCTACTCATCACGCAGGAGTAATCCTGTCGTTTATTAAGCTCTTCTCTCTATGACTGCCCTGCCCCCCCCCCATCCCCCCCATCCCTTTTTTTTCCTATTTTATTGTACATATGTTAATGTGAGGGAAATGCTTTCACGTAGAGCATGCTTGTGGTGAACCACTCTACATGCATATGCTCTACTACCTGTAAACATGAGGAACACTTTAGTGCCTTGCATCCTCACTAAGGACAAGTTCCAGATTCATCGATTGCTGTAGCTGTGATTGGTCGGCAGAGAAACAGTTAAGCTGTACACGATGTAAACACCACAGGTGGCTCCTGCACACAGCCTGTCAGAGGATGTAACACTCTGAAAGTGTAGACCCCACACAGGACTGCAGAACAAAGAGCAGAGTCATGTGGAAGCGTTTCTGCTCCGGCCACACTTCCCTTTGTGTTGTGTGATCAGCTGTGTATTTATATTTGGCTCATGCGTACGTGGATTTGGCTGACATTTGTTTTTGTGGGTTTATCATCATTAAACTGTTTCATAGACGCACTTGTTCAGTCGGCGGGCGAGCTGTATAAAGGTTTAAACTTTTTCATGCTGGTTAAACGTTTGTCTCCGCACCTCACGAGTGCCATGCTGTCATTGTGACCCTTTCTCCTGCTCGTAGATTGGATGAATAGTTAAACTTCTCTAGAGAAAAAATAAGTTACTGCAATGCAGAATATGCAATGTTTAAAGGGACTGAGGGGTAATGGAAACATTTGCATGCTGATGAGGGGTTGTTACCGACTTCAATGTTTTTGATATTGGAATATTAGAGATCTTTTTTTTAATTATTATTCTTTGCCTTCCTGAGTCGATCTGTCCGATTGCCATTCACCAATATCACAGGCACACCTTTAATATCAAACTATCGCTAAATGATTTCTGCATGCCGGCTTCACTGGTGTTTCATCTTACAAATGACTTACAACTGTACAGCACAACGTCACAACAAAGCTCTTATAGTCCCTCTGCTACAATCAGTAATTATCCCACCTCTAAGGTACTGGCACGCAGTCATATCTGTCTATATTTCTGATCCCTCCTAGCTGACTTCCTGTGATTCAGTGTTTGTTTTGTGTATGTTTTTCACATTGTACAAAATGTAAAAACAAATAAAAATACTATCAATTAAAAACTTGTCATGCTCATTGGAATAATGTTTCTAAACCGTGGTCCCTTTTTTAAATATAAAAAAGAAAATCACATTTATAATAAAACTTCTCTATAAATATGTATGATAAACTAAGCATCATTCAAAGACAACGCTACGAAATGTGGGCTTGTTTGGTCTATTTCTATAAATATTAATTTAATTCAGTTAATTGACTTCTGTGGTTATTTTTTTATTTTCTTACAAAACCATATATCCAAATATCAGAAATAGATACAATTAAAATTCAATGGAAACACTGAAATAAATATTAAAACAAAAGAGGAAAATACATTTTACAAGTGGTGATGAAGATCACCGGAGCATCAGAACATGTCAGGTGTCGAGTCGGCGTTTCTTCATGTACTGTCCCTGTCTGTATGGACTGAGGACTTCACCTGTAAGTTTCAAATTAAGTTCAGTTGATTTATTTAACACTTCAGACACAAAGGCAATCCAAAGTGCTTTACATAAGCATTAACAATACAAAACAATACAACTATTTGTAAAAGACAAGCTAGTTAAATTAACATGCAAGTGCGGAAGAAGACTTGAGTCTCAAAATGACCTTAGCAAAAGTGTCTAACCCCAATATAAAAAAACTCAAGTGTTGGGACAGACCTCCAAGTGTATTTTAGATCTACAAAGCTAGAAGACTAAATGCATCTCCATGCTCGGTTCTGGGACATTCTGCAGTAGACTGGTCTCATGAAGCCTCACCTGGCCCCGCCTGACACTGAGCCGGGTCCTGTGCTCCGCTGTACGAAGGGGCCCTGTCCGGGGCCCTCTGAGGGGTCTTACTGCGGGTGTGCATCTTGTGACTTGAGGGCGTGGTGGGCCGGAGACCTTTGGGATGAGGGTCGTCTGCAGGGACATCCAGTTCATCGATGGCATCCAGAGTGAAGTCCCAGAGCGCAGGATCATCTGTGGGAGGACAAACAGCTGTAGTGAGACCCCCTTCCCACACTGTGAGCATGGTGCGCCCTCTGGTGGTGGAGCACTGCACCTGCTAGATGTTCCCCCCCGCCGCCGGGCTTCATGAGTCCTGCTGAGGTCTCACTGAAGGCTGGAGCACCATGGTGACCTGTAAGGATGGATACTTTTCAATAAAAACACCAACAACACTTATAATCCTTAGAGTTAAGAATTAAAATATTTGTAACCAGCCGTCTTAAACCTGAAATGATGTCATAATGCCACCCACATGTTTAAGACTCGATGATGCAACTGCACTGCAAATTGTGTTTTTATCTTCATTTACTGTAACAGTATGTCTTCCAAATCAGAGCATACAAATGTAAGTATTTAAGTCCCATGACACTCAATGAAGAAGTTTCAAGACAGTTTGATATTTAATTATGTTTATTAAACTGTGACAGCTTCCTCTACATGTGACATCTTAAATCAGTAATCATCAAACCTTCACCTGTGCTGGGTCCCCGTCCAATAGCGAGCTCTGAATCCTCAAACTTAGCTTGATCTGGTTTCAGCTGCAGCTTCTTCTCCATCTCTCTCCTGAACTTCTCTTGAAGCTGCTGCTGTCGGAGCTTTCTCAGCTGTTTGGGGTCTGTGTGCGATTCTGACCCGCCACCGTCCATCGAGTCCATGGAAGGTCTTAGAAAACAAACGGAGGAGACAGATTGGATGGGACGCACATTTGGATGCACACCAATAGAAGCAGTGAAAATAAAAACTGAAACTAGACCCACTGCTGTTACCTGGCGTCCATGTCCTCACTCCTCCTGCCAGCAGGGGCAGTCGGGGTGTGGACCTCTGAGTAGTTCTGGTTCTGGTTGAGGACTTTGGGCTCCAGCACATTTCTGCCGTTGCTCGTCGCAGGTGCAATCTTTTCCTCCCACACCAGACTGGAGAAGCGGGCTTTCTCCACAGAGGGCTCCCCCTCGATGCGCTTGGTCTTGGCCGGGTCTAGAGGAGGAGGAGGCTTTAAGCAGAGGAAACAAACATTCAGGACTTTTTGAAGAGAAAATAAAAAATGCTCAGAAATGATATCTGACCTTTTTGGGGATCTTGTTAATGGCCATGAGGTATTCTTTATTCAGGATGCAGTTTCCAAGAGCATTACCAAAGCATCTAAAAATGAACCCAACAAAAACGCAAATAAGTTAAGAAAATTCAGACAGATCAAATGTTCTAAATGATTTGTTATTATCATTTAGAAATGGAGAAGTGGCAGTACTTCAGTGCTCTCTTCATGCCATCCGTGACAGCTTCCTTCCTGGCCTTTTCCAGCGACAGAGCTTTGGACTTCAGACCTTCACTGACTCCATACCCCACATCTTCATGAAACGCACCGTCCTGGAGGAAAACATGTGTACACACTTAGACTTTTCTGGACAGCATGCGGGAAGAAAGTAAACATAATGTGAAATGTAAATACAACTATCTGGATCAGACAATCTATTATGGAAAAGTAAAACAATTCAAATATATTTAGTAAAAGGTTCCTTCTCTAACCTTCAGCATCACCTTGATAAAAGCACTGACTCCGACGTAAAACTTCCCGTTGATGATGTCTATAAAGTCTGTAAATCAGAAGTGTTTCATTAGTTGGACCGTGTGGAAATGGTTTAAAGCATCCTCTGCTGAGACCAGAAGCTCCCTGCGGCGTACCGACATTCTGCTGAGAGATGGAGTGAGACCACCCATTGTATCCAAACATCTCATTGGCCAGGCCGATCACACGGTGCCCTTCAATGTAGCAAACCTGGAGGTCCCGTCCAGAGAGAGAGAGAGAGAGAAGGGTTTTATTTATTCGTTTTTTTCTGGTAAAGAACTTGAGAATTTCATTTAAAAAAGTCATTGTATATTATGTCATAGAACAGTAATACCTCACAAACATATGTTACATATGTATGTCATAGAAAAATGGAAAAAGATAACATTTCCTCAAATTCGTTTCCACTTTAGAAAATCCTATCCTTGTTAAGAAAACATAAAAGGAGCTGTGTGGCGCAGTGGGTTGTGCGTTGGTGTTCGGATCAGGGGGTCACAGGTTCAAACCCCACTTCAGTCAGTATGTCGTTATGTCCCTGGGTAAGACACTTCACCCCAAATTGCTCCTGTGGGGATTGCCCACAGTATTGAGTATGTAAATCGCTTTGGATAAAAGCGTCTAGTAACAAGTAAATGTAATGTAAAATATATTAGCAATAACAACACATTTGAGCCATAATCATGTTATTCATAACCCAGCCTGACATTTAAGTTCAATTGGCTTCACAGCTGTGCAGAGAACAGACACTCGCCTTCTGTCCTCCTCCAGCCATCCTGGAGCTGATGTACTCGGGGCCCAGCTTCTGCCGCAGAGCTCTGTCCACCGCCTGGTGCTCTTCAGCTGTGTAGGTCAACTGACAACACACAAACCCAAACAAAGAACACAATCATACAGACCATGACTTCATAAAAGGGTGGGCCCTTAACCCTTATTGATGATTATTAATGATTGATTAAAACCCTGACCAAATGTTGTTCAACTGCATTCAAATTGATTTAATCTATTGAGCTGATACATTTAACAATATTTTGGAAATGGTTTGGAGCAGTGTGTTACAAAATGGGGTACGTTTCTCACAACCAGTTTTTAAGGTCAATAGCTGTTCAAATCCAAACAAACCTTTAAACTTCATAGAAGAGAACTGAAGAAGTACTCCTTCTGCAGATTGGTCCATTTCAGAATAATATATATATTAACTGTTTTGATTATAATTATTTATGCATTAATATGTTATCAAAGCTGATAACGGTGCAGCAAGTTATTTACTTTGTATACTGCAGAGTAGCTTCATGTGAAATTAATCCAGGTGTAACTAAAGTCTTATCTAAAGGTGGGGTAGGTAAGTTTGAGAAACCAGCTAGAGATACACTTTTTGTTATATTCCATGGAATGCTCTTAACATCCCAATAGCAATGACTGGATGGCCTACCTGCCTGTCAGCCTTCCATCTGTGCACAAACTTATCTCGTGCCCTCATTGGTCATGTGCGCGTTCGTGTGTTGGAGGAGGGTCTCTGTAAGGAAGTGGCAGATTTTTTCCGGCTGTGTATTTTCAAATTCTAGCGCACTCGAGCTGGTTTCTCCAAAATTGCCTACCCCACCTTTAAGTGTTGATGATATTTAATATCATTAATCCTAATCTGCAAAGCAACTAAATATATTAAATACCTGTAGTGGAGTAAAATTACCATATTTATGTCTGAATGGTAGTGAAGTAGAGAACAAAGTAACATCATATTTAAATACTAATAAGTAAAGGGCAAGTATCTGAAAATGGTACCCAAGTACTTGAGTAAATGTACTAGTTACTTCCCACCTCTGCTCAAGGCGAAACAAAAAAAGTGGCAAAATAATGACATAGGCAAAAAATGACCAAAAATACCAAAGAAACTACAAAGTGACAAAAAAACTATAAAAGGTTGTCAGTGAGATGTCTGTGCCCATGATCCGCCCCTGCAGCTACGCACCTGTCCGAAGCACCTGGGAGCAGAGCTGCTCCTCTCCCCGGTGTTACTGCTCATGACTGCTGTCCTGTAGTCACTGAAATAAAGATAAATGGAAACAGGTTAATGTAGCTCAATGATAACTGCTGTAATCTTATATAACGCCTTACTCGTCTATAATGTCACTTAAACGCTTAAATGAACATACAGCTAACGTCAAAGATCTGAAAAACGTAGTTTAACAACTCGTACATTTCAGCTGGCTTTAGTTTACCTATTACATAAACCATAGTCTTATTCCGTCGTAAATTAGATATCCCATTCATATAAACCCACACTTACCAGTTAAAATTCCGTTAAAATCGATATTTGTGGTAGAGTAAGCTAACCAAAGCAGCTGGACGTGTGCTACATCGAATCAAAACACATCTGAACTTCCCGCCCGGACACCAAGGGGAGGGGTATATGATGCCTTCGCGTACTGTCGGAGAATGTAAATCTCACGAAAATTATCGAAACTACGGTTTTGTATTAATTTTCTCAACGATAATTCCACTCTTTGGCAGATGTGTAAGAAGTACTCTGATAATTTACTTTAGTTAAAGTAGCAATACTATATTGAAAAAATACCGTTAAAAGTCCTGCATTCAAAATTGTAGTCAAGTAAAAGTAATTAAAAAAAAGTAACGGCATTAAAATATACCTTCTAGTGCAAGAAGTAAACATACTTATTTTCCAGTATGGCCCATTTTCGTATAATTACTTTTAATGAATGAATGTCACGTTGCACTTGGTAAACGTGGGGAGTATTTAAATTACTCACTGCTGTGTAGCTTAACCTAAGATAATACATCATGATGTATTAGGGTATTTATATCCTGTATTGTAAATCCATCCCTGCTAAGTAGCTAGAAACAATATTTGTAAAAGAAATGGCCTACAACATATCTGGAAGATTCTTCCCGTCGACCGGTAAAACTAGGCAATACTATTACTGCTCTTAATATTTTCCTTCTCGGTAACCTTGATAGTGTACTTCCTGCACGTCGACTTTAGGACCGGGTCCTTTATTTGGCTTAATACTCAAATCTACTAGTCGACCACAACGGTGTTACGATTGCCCACCGTTCACTATAGCCCCATTACACGTCACCTACGTCGAAAATTATGCACTTTTTTTCACGCGTACGTCGCTATATGTGACCAGTACGTGTATCTGATTTAGAACACGAACGACTTCGAGCTATTGACTTTATGGTCTCTACCGTCTCAAAAAACACACAAGTTTGTGATTTGATTGAACATATAGCGTTTATCGGTTATGGTGGTACGAAAATACTTCGTCTACCTGTTGTGTGTTTTATGTCCGTATCTCTCGTGTGATGTGGTGAGCCTAACCGACCTATATTCTCTCTATGCCCGAGATTCTTTCTATTTCGCGATGCTCCGATATATCGACACAAATCAGGATCGCGAGTACGTCTCCCATATTGACTTCGACGACTCTGAGCCCTGTTTGATACGCTGCGAGTAAAAACAAACACCAGAAGTAGGCAGGGATCTTTTTTTAGAATTTAGAGTGAATACTACCAACTTGTCGAAGTCTGGTGGTACGGTGCTCGAAATAGGTTTGGAGTTATGTCGCTCATGTATCCGGGTCGACCTTTTCTAAACTCCAGGTCTATTTCTCATGGTCTGTGTGACTCGTCCTTCGGTCCGTAAAAGGTGTCTCGAGCCGAGGGTCGTGCTGTGACGGAGACGTGGTCGTTCTCGTGCCTACACAAGGTTTCTGGAACGTCCAAATAACAGCTAGTAGTGTACCGGTCTCTGTTTGTCCTCTACTGTGTCTTTTTTCTGATATGAAACTGGTACCTGGCGAAGTAGAGACTCAACTTAGCTGGCTAAATGTTAACTACTCGATGATTACGACTAGGTCTTCGAACTAACAATAGGAGGTAAAGTACCTACATCAATACCTTGTCACCGCTTGTTGATCTATGACTATAGCTGTTGGGAAAGAGCAAGGGCACAGGGTCGTTGGAAAGAAACTTGAACTCTACCCTTCCTGCACTCCCTCTTGTATTTACGACCGAACTGTCTGACTTCTGGTACAGACAGCAAAAAGTCTCTCCAGTAGGTGTAGCAGCTCGCGTGAGGCAGGGTGAGTAGTTGCTTCTAAGAAAAAGGAATAATCAGCTGAAGAACGCTCCTGTGTACTCGCTACTGGTCCGAGTGTTTGGAGTACAAACTACCGAACAACTCGGACGACAGCATTTTAGGGACCTGCGTCTATTGAGCAGTTATTGAAACGACGAACTCCTGGCGCAAATAGGTGAAACCCTTATTAATTATTTCAAGTAGAGGTTTCATTTCTATGGGGTTTGTAGGAATAATTATACTAAAGAGAAAGAGAAAAAGAACGAGGGAGGGAGGGAGAGGAGAGTAGTGGAGGGAGGGAGGGAGGGAGAGGAGAAATATAAACCTGAAATTGTCAAATGTGCGTTCAAATGGAACCATACAAGTGTAGCACTATAAACGTTAATGTATCACTTACTTCACCTGTCTTTCTCACTTTACACAGTCTTTCGTAGATGACCCGACAATTGGGCACGGCGAACGATAGGTACCCACACTTTTGCTACGATCCGCGTAAACTGAACTTAACTAACTAACGTGGCACCGCATCAATCTCACAAACACAGGTATAATGAACGCGATCGCCCTACACTCACTCCGACGTAACTTTTTCAAGTTAAAGGATTGGTGTGTCTTTTGCGATGTATGCGTCTGAACAGGTGAAAACAATACTAATACAACGACCCGTAGCATATAACTACTATGACATCAATTCAGTACCTGATCATCTGGAACGGTAATGGAATCGGAAACCGACTAACTGCGGTGACCACAGGCCAGGCTGCTTCGACCCAATAGAAAAATTCGTCCGATCTAGAGGTACCATTGAATACGACACGCCGATTGGACGGGGCCCCGGTCCATCCAACCGTCCGATTCTCGAGTTGTCACTTTTCGTGACGGACGACTGGTTAGGTCTCGAGTCACACGCCCTCAAATTTCGTGCTAGTTCAGGATAATAGTCCTCGTTCCTTTATGCTTTTCGACGGCAAGACGTCCTTTCTGCCGGCCGTTTATTAGTGGCTGACACACTTTGCACCTTGTAATTATCTTATAGTGGAGGGTAGAAGCTCTCGTTAGACTGATAATAGTGTAACGGCAATCTTCGAATGAATTTATGACGGTGTTGTGGATTCATTGCCTAGCTCATTGTAATTCTGTCAGGCGCCGTATAGTGTAGGTAACATAGAGAGGAAATAGACTCAGTCGGACCGTGCAAGACCGCAACCGGGGTGCACCAGATGACATACTCTCATAATAATAATGTTGATAATTCAACTGCTGTGAGCTCAGTGTGTACAAATTTCAGTCTAGCACAGAATCGCCCCTTCGTCAAATAGTATTTGACAAATTACATGCGTAGTTTGTTTAAAAAGAAAAATGGTCGACATAAGTGAACGTCCACGTCGTACACCTAAAATAGGACCTACTTTCACAAATGAGTACCTACAAATTTCAAATTGCATGAAGTATACACAGATTAATATATACAGGACAGTTCATGCGGAACAGGTACAAACGACTTAACCAGTCTTACGAGGTTTATGGTGGTGAAGGGTACACTTGTGCGAGGATTGATCGTTATCCCTTGTGCCGACCGAACGTCGCTAGGTGAACTATTGGGGCGCAGCATCATGGCCAAATCCGGCTCTCGCGCATACAAAGAACTAAATCGCGGTTGGCCGATTGGAGTTTGATAGGTCCAATCCAACTTTGGTCGAAGCGTCATATGGGGGTGTCCTCAGATCATGAGTCGAATACAAACTTTATTTATCCGTTTGACAAATTGTACCTTTAGTTAGTACCGACGCATCTTCGATGACACTCGTAAATTCTAGCCATAAACAACGAAATATGAACTTCTTTTAACATTTTGTAACATAAGACCAGTAATAAGAAAGTCAAAATGTTTTTCTATACCTTACCTACCTTTCTGTTTTGATTCTAAAGTCATTTGCACAATTTGGTTTGAGAGCACTGGAGGAAGACGGTATAAACAATACGGATTAGACGGTTGTAAGAACACATCTGTCTTTGTGCGGTAGTCCCTGTCTTATGTTCACGAAATAGAGAAGTTACTTCACACATGTTTATTTTGATTGTAGTATAATCACTTTGACTTAGTCTGACTGTCATCCATGTTGGTATTCGTAACCGAGGTTTACACTGTGGTATTATAGTCGACAACCCCCCCCCATCTCATTGCATTCATGTAAACATGAGTCCGTCGACATGAACACATTTAAACTCTCTTGAACATGAAGTGCAATTTACTCATAAGATATAATTCCATTTGAAATATGAAANAATATCCCTGTATTGGACCGTGTTTCCAATCAGTCCCTTTGTATGAACCATTTTTCTACACATCTCTTTCAGCGGTTCCTGTTTTATATCTCGCAGATGTTGCTGCTTCCTGTTTTTCCCTAATTTAGTCCATTTTGAACAGACTACAGATACATATCATCGTTTTAAAGAACTGAAAAAGAGAAATGGGACCATATCTGACCTATACCACCAGTTAATTTTATGCCCAGCATATTTAAGATGCTTACAAGTTTGTTGTGGTTAGTCTGGTGTTGCATTTATGGGGTCCAATGAGGTTTTCTCTTGAAGCCTCCATCCAAGCCACCCCTTCTTAACCTACATACCACTCATCTCTCGACCTTGATGTGGCTTCCAAACACAATGTTGTAGCTTTGCCTAAATAAAAGGATTCTCTTCCACAATTAAAGATTCTTGTCCTACAGAAGATTGTAAAACACTTTGTCATTTTTAGCAATAAGGTCTCCCTGTAATGTCATCTTCATGTGACAAGTAACATTTAAAGTTAAATCAGGAAGACCAATATCCTCTGTCTGTTACACGTCATTTCAATACTCTCTCCTCTCTCAATAAGTGATCAGGGGCGTCACTCCCCAGCTAACCAATAACTTCCCCCCATTTTCACAAGCCTATCATTGCACCCGCTAACCCCTTTAAATCTGCTCTTCCCTCTCCGTCAGCTGTCATTTCAGGTGACAACGCGCAACCCTCCTCCACCCCTTCGCCTCCTGTCTCCTAATACAGGGCCAAGCTAAAACCTTCTCCCTTCAGACCGGACTGAACTACTTATCACCACCACCAGTGTCTAGACCCCGGGGGGTTTCATTGGAGCGTTTTTTTGCCCTCCTGAATGATTATCCTGCAAACCGGTGCCTAATCGCCAAACACCATTTCATTCACTCGTTATAATCCGTCAACTATTTCATTCATATTATGTGTCCCGGTAATAAACATGTATTTTATACATCACGTCTCTCCTGATTGAA